GCGATAATAAATTTTACACACAAAAATCAATATATTCGTGAAACAATGAGCCAAATATTGTAAAATTGCGTTTTTAGTTGTTCACCGTCCGTGACGTACATAAGTAATTCCAAAATGATTTAACAAATTCAGTGAAATGTGCTTAGAGAAGAAGTATGGGTATCAAGTCAAAGGGGAGATTCTGTAGAATTTAATCAGATAAAAGTTTTTTGTGCATATGGACTGGTAAGTATGAAAAATGTCCTTTTAAAATTGTTTTCTTGAAATTTCGCAAGATTTGTTTTTGAAAAATTATATGTTAAGGACTTATATAAACCCGATAACATCCTCGAGTCTCGTCCTTCAAACTTTATCAGCTTAAAAAGTTACCTATTCGTCCTTATGAATCCAAAAAATTTTAATAATTTTTTTTTCTAAATAAGTTTCCTTCCTTTTATTTGGTACCCATATTTTTATTCTACCATGCATTGATTTTTTTTAATAATTTTTGGAATTAATCATATCTTTGAAATTACAAAGTTCTTTAAAATAAATCCTCACGCCAGAGAAAAAAAATAAAAACGCCACTTTAAATAAAAAGTTGGTTTGAAACCCACTTAATTATTATTTATTTTATGGTAGGAGAGCTTCTCAACAATTTAGAATCCACTTTTTCGATTTAAGTTGTTGAAAAGTAATGAATGTCTAAATCCCTAGGACTAATCGTGATAAAGACATCCCGAAAAACCCGGTATCATAAAACAGCAAAAAAATTAACATCCCTACGTGAGAGTGAAAAACTAAAACAGTTTTACTATATTTGGCCCATAGTTTCTTGGGTATATTAATTGTTTCATGTGGTTTTAAATTTTTTTTTTGCTTTTGTCGCACGATGGCAATTTCTTTTTGAACTGCATAAAGCTTCATCTTAATTATTAACCAACAAAAGTTGCCAGTTTTGCGTTTAGCTTCATGTTGACCGCAGTATTTTTTTTTTAATAGCTTTGTTCAACACGCTTTCCGGGCTTTTTCGGTAATTAGAGCGTAAAAATAAGTTACTCTATCAGAAGTGCCAAAAATGTGCCAACTAGTGCCAAAAGTGTCCAGTGCGTGAGGAACGCAAAAAACCACATGTCGTGCTCTAAACAATGATTTTATGTATATTTATCTTATATGGCTAAAAAAATTAGCAAAAAACTAGATTTTCGGAAACTTCTGTGGCATTCTCCATTTCCACAACAGCTGTTATTGCAATTCGACTATTTGCACATTTGTGCCCGGAAAACAAGTCCAGGCTGTTTCAGGCACAAAGAGGAAGATATTTACCATCCAAAAGTGGAACGTATTCGCTCTCTATTACCCATTTTTATAGCATGAGGAACGCTTTCTGGGCTGGTTTAGGCACCCGCGGGATCCCGCTGGCTCGTGTGGAACAAACCTACATATATACATATATATATATATATTAAATCTATAGTGTGTTCAATCAAGTTACCCACAGCGATGAACGCAAGCAAAGAGCTGGCCCACTCAAATAGTTAAGAATGGCCTCAAATAAGAATAGCCATTATACCTATATGTATACTAAGTATCATTTCAGCCTTCTTAATCAAAGTAGCTTCTTACGATTTTTTCAACTAATCAACAGTAAAACGTTGTTCTACAACAACACTGACAACAAAAACACAAGCGCACTACTACTCTTGTATTTATGTACATCGAGTGGCACTTGCTAAGGGCGTAAAGTTGCGTTGGGAGTTCGTTCATCTTACGAATGCTCAGCTACTTCGCGTAGATTTAATGAAAATTGCAATGGCGCGTAGAAGATTGCTTGGTTGCGGGGTTGCGGGGTTTCGGGGTTGCGGGATCGCCGCGTTGAGAGGATTGAATGATTGAAAAGGCTTGGTTAATTGTAGGTTAGCAAAGAAAGTAAATAGTCACAGCTGTTGCAAAAAAGAACTCGGAAAGGAAATGAAACAAACAAGCGCAGTGAATTGCTTTCAATACACACAAGTGCAAAAATAGCACTTTACTTGCATTCAGCTAGGGTCTAAGCCATACTTAAAACTATTTGCTTGTACCATCAGATGCATAGCAGTAACCGGATGTGGAAAACAGGAAGAGCGGGCACAAAGCACCAAACGCTAACAAATACGTATGTATGCAATACACAGAAAGGGATAAATAAAACTCAACCGTTAAATACTGTTACAATAGTAAAATAAGCAACTTTCTTCTATCATAAACCGGAAAGAGGAAAACAATTCAAAATTTCTGATATACATAGAAGGAAGTACTTCAAACTATTGTGCTACTTAGCTAGTATGTATGTACATCTAAAGGCTAAGAAAATAGCAAAAGGGTATCAGAGTGAAGAGCGACGAAATCCACATGGAATTGCCAATGGTTGAATGGTGGAATAAAGTAAATATCCGTGCAGCAAATATAATTGAAGTTTTATTGAAAGCGATTGAATAGCGCGGTCAAGTTAAGTGATTTAGCTGAATGGGTTGAAGAGCAACAATTGTGTATAGTATGTAAATATGTCTGTATGTTTGTATGTATGTATGTATGGTGCTATGTAATTATATGCCAGTGACAAAGGTGGACAGGTGGATAGTTGTACGTACAGTATGTATGTATGTATGTATAGCGGTATATGAGCGCAGGAATGCTATGTTGGTATGTATTTCACCCACAAGTCTCATCGCCATATTCGCTTGCTTGCATTGGGCGGCACCACACGGATATCAATCAAGTGAGCAGTTTGTGCAAACATTAAAAAGTACCCTTGTATGTGCATACATATGTATGCACATTTCCATATTTGTAGCTGCACAAATTAATGAACGGAAATGCCAGTAGCTAAGCTAAAAAGTAAATATGTTCAGCTGGAAAATGTAAATAAATTTGTGAAATGAGAAAATGAGCTCAACGCACAAGTACTTATTCAATGAATTGCTGTTGCCCCGCCTGCCATGAGTTGTGTCTTGTTAAATAGTGATTCATTAGTACGCTTAAAAATTGAGCTAAATGAAATAAGTAATTAAAGTTGTATAGAATTTAACTAGCTCTTTAGAATACTCATCACAAATGTGCATAACATGCGAATGCATACATATATTCAAGGCATAAAAATCAATTTTCATCGAGTAAAATTAACTGAAATAAATAGGGTTCTCACAGTTTCGCTAGTTTAGGATGCTGATTTGCGATATACCATCCGTTTTTTTCAGATTGGTTCTTGTGTGCGAATAATTTCGAATTTTTAAAAAGGATCAGTCTAGCGCCTTCGTCTTGACCTGAGGGCTGTGTCGAAGCCATAGCTCCTAATCTTAAAAGTAGAATACGTAATTCAAGTTGAATTTAATCTTTCAAAAAGATGGAAACGCTCCTACATATATTTTGGAAATAAAGTTTTTCAGAAAACTTTTTAATCAGGTGACAACCCTCTTCAAAATATTTTAAAACCACAAAATATGAGTAGGTATCTCGAAAACCACTTCACCAATATTTACCAAATTTGATACATATATATAACAATGCGCTTGGCCTCCTTAAGAACTACATAACTTTTTTTTTTTTTTTTTAATCAGACAGTAAGCACGCCCTCTGCTAATGTAACGGCAATTTTCAAAATCTCGAAGTTTTTTTCTAAGGCATGTCAATCATTCAATACTGGTTTCTAAACTACTTACTTAGGTTGCGTTTTCATTTCATTTTCCTATAATTTATTTTTTTTTTGTATTTAGGCAGCTGACTACAAATCGCAATAGCTAATTTAATGATGTATTTATAGTTTTTTTAGGGTTTCGTTATGCTATAGCTATTTTAAAATCGTAAACTGTGCACCGAAAATACATATTTTTGATTCGTTTCCGTACAAACTATAGAAAACTATTTTACTTTACCTTACGGGTCATTCCATTGAAAAGAGGAAAACGACATAAATTTAAATATGCCCTAATTATCTCTATTTCAGTAGTAACCTCTTTTAAGATGGCTAAATCTCATTCATCTGTTGCAAAAAATATTACAAAAATAAAAGAAGTTGTTATTTTTGTCTATGGAAACTTTTATTTACTTTACATACATCAATCACAAGGAGATGTCCCACCAGTCACAACTTTAAATAATTTTTTTATAATTCTATGAAGATTATATAATGCTCATTTTTATTGAAAACAAAAGCGCATAGCTCATATTTTGCAACACAAAAATATTTTTCGCGAAGCTTAAGTGTTTTGGCTAAAACTTATCTTTAAACGATGATATATACATATATTTTATTTGACCCGAAGCAGGTCACCTTTCTTGGCTAATTGGGAAAAAGCAAATTTTGCATGTGACGCGTCTAGGCATTATTTTATAAATGCCGATAACAGACTTGCGTGGGCCTGTGCATTTATTTTGCAACCGAGTACAAGGCTAAAGTGTCAGTTACCTGCGCCTAACAGAACTTATCATTACGCTATGAAGTAATCTAACACCCAACAGCTAATAAGCACAGCTTATCAATGCAATAAATGAAAAAAATACAAATACATTTCGCACGTTTAATAATAAAGTGAGTCAATTCAAATTTTTAATTTCGTAGAAAAACGCAATCAATGTTTGATGAATTTATAAGCATGGTTGGCGTACAAAAACAAACACCTACGCCATTTTTGGGGAGTTTTGTTATCTCTTAAACAGAGTATATTCTCCTTATCAAGCTTATTAATTATATTATAAAATCTTAAAAAAAAACGGAAATTTTGACTTAGTGATCTTTATTGTTAAACGTGCGATTTATGTATGCATTCGATGCTGCTTCAATTTACTTTTATACATATGTATATTGGATTTACTTTAAATAAAAAAAAATAAAAAATTTCATAAATTCACGAGTACTAATACAATCGTGTATACTATACACTTTCTGTATTTGGTTTGAGCTCCTCCAATCTTCGATTCTAATCAGCATTTTTTGGACCATATAAAATAGCATTTTAGTTCAGTTGCAACTCAGTCAGATTTGAAGCTTCCCAGAGGCAATCCTTCCTTCAGCCATGAAATCATTTACATTGCTAAAAATGCAGCAAGCTTTAATCCTCATTACCGGCGCCTTGCTATTGTCGCAAGTAAGCATATTTTATATCAACTTATAATATTATTAAATACATGTACATACGACAACTTTTGCACGATAGTTCGTACACGCCTTGCCGCATACGAAACGCGAGGTGGAGACCCTCCTCACCCACAACAGTATTCATTCCAGCCATGAATCTAGCGCCGAAGAAGACAATCCAAAAATGCAACTCATGGCATTTACTATAGGCCAATTAAGTCAACTTTCCAAATGGATACTCGAAAAGGGTAGCATAGTTGTGAAGAACACCGTTGAAGAATTGAATGAAATTCCGCAGAAAGATGCACTCTTGCAAGCGAATATCACCCGTATGCATCGCATTGCAACTGAAACGTCACAGCTGAACTTGGAAGATAATAAAGAAGGTATTATAAAACGATTCGAATTTCTGATTGATTTTGCAACAATGATGGAAGACTATGAGAACATGCCCGCGGATTCAAAATTACGACATACTTTAAAAACAGCTTTGGAAAATAATGGTTACAACCGATTTGAAAGCGAATTTGAAGAGAAAATCATCGAGTTGGCTAAAAATTTCGATCAGGCATTTGCTGAGTATGTCAAAGCTTTGACTCTAGCCGAGAAAGCGAAGGATGCTAAATTGCTTGAGTGGTATCAAGCATTCAAGGCTGAAACAGACAGGGAGAAGAAGCTTGATAAATTTAGTGATTTGTTTAGTTTTTAATACCTATGTTTGTTTGTATTAAACTTTGTAAAAAACTATTGACTACTTAAATAAAATAGAACATTTTATTCTTAAAACCATTTTTAATTTCATTTGTTATTTATTGCCAAATCTAGTCTCACATTAAGTGACAGATTCACAACCACATTTTAGCTCACCCGGAATTGAATTGATTTATAATCGAAAATGATGGGCTGTTTTGCGTATCGAAGGAAACACATACATACATTCAAACTTCTCTGTAACGAGTTCCAAAAATCGGGGAATTACTTCGTTATATAGAGCAGGGCTCGAATCGTTACATACGATATCATACTACTCGTCACGCAAAAACACATTTTTCGGATTAAGACATACGTGAACGTACTTTTTGTCCCATTCAGCTTAACCTCCCTGACTTATCACGTAATTTGCTTTCGTATGGTTTTCGATACGTGAACGGATGTTACGATTTGAGTGCAGGTGTGCTCATCCAATAGCTCAGTTGGCTCACAACAACACTTCACTCACACTCACTTACAACAAACACAGAATTCGTGGAAGCACAACACTCAAAATGTTAACGGATAAAAATCATTCGACTTTCTTTCATTAAATATGTCTATTTTACTCGTTTTTTAGCAAGTTTGTCGTTGCGCTTCAATCAAAATGGAAAAACTACCGGTGTCATTCTTTATTTCGCGAAATAAAAACGTAATGAAACCGTTATAGAATACTGAAAAGAATTGCGATGCTCTTAAAGGTTTTGCTAAAATTTGGAAACTTTGGTTTGCAGAAAAGATAGGAAGAGCTTTCAGCCTATCTCAGGAACTTTTGATTTTAGGCATTAAAAAAACGTTTTTAACACACTCATCTAACCGATTTCCCTTAACTCATAAGTAACAAAAAAATTTCAAGCCCGGCAATGTTAGAAGAAAAAAATACATAATAAGAAACTAAAAAAAAAAAAAAACAATAAATAACACAAGACTACAAAACCAATTTTCGAAAGTTTCTTTTGTCCATATGTTTTTAGGGTCGTTGAACACGAATCTGAAGTGCATTTTGATTCATCACGTCAGAATTTTTTTCTAACCTCAAAAACCATAGCGATCGTTATGTGACAAAAGTTTTTTTTTACATATAAATATTGACGGATTTACATTTATCTTTGTGTCCATGGGTTCTTGAGGTCACTGGTTACGAATATGGAGTTAGATATTCAAAATTCGAAATCGCGGATCCAAAAAGACGGTCCAAGCTACTAAATCTTATAAGAATTAATGTTTATTCCAAAATTTTACCGCCATATTGGATTTGGATCCGATAGAACAGTACAGTAACTCTTATTATGAGATATTGTCTTTTGAAAAATAACCAACAGATACAGCGATTTTGACCATATAAACCAAAAGTTCTAGAGATTAGAGTGCTCCAAATTTTTTATGCAGGAAAGAAATTCCTTCGTAAAAAAAGGGCACGCCTTGGTTTTTTCCCTTTGGTATTTGTAATAACTATACCAACTTTCAATTTTCTACTGTAATCAATGAAGGGTGGTAAATGAAACTGACAAAAATATTTATAATTTTAATAAAAAGCTAGTGCTACCATGACAATATTTATTCGTCTAATTTAAATTTAAAATAATATTAGGTTGCTTAACCAATTATTTGGTTAGTATACAACAATATACTTCTAGAGTAAAATATAAACATTTCGTAAAATTTGGTACCTGCACGTCTTTTGGCAAGAGAAAAAATTTTGGAAAGGTTGGGCTATCTCAGACTTTTTTTTGTACCACTCGAAAATCCATATAAGTACATACATACATAGAATGCTAATAAAAGATTTTCGAAGCTTATACATTTGTACATTAGTATTTACATACTACGAGGGAAAGGCCCTCGTGATAATCACGCTTTCCATTTCGCTGGTGGACGTGTTTCCGGACAGCGTTCGTCACCATCCGTTTGTAAATTGGTAAGGTAAATAAACTATTATAATATGGGTGTAAAAATAAAGTATTTTGAGAAATTTTAGTTTAGAAAATATTTATAAAAAGAGTTGCCATATGTTTTAAACCTTTTATAAATGAAATATGTATTACAGTATGGGTGTTAAAAGAAATCTTTAACCTAGAAATTTTTTTCGTTAGCGTTGTCACAAATCTAAAAAGTTAAGAACAAAAATTTAAAATTAAATGAAATATTAAGATATTCGGTAGAATGGAGAAAAATTTCCAAACTCTTTGATCCAGATATTTTTCAAAAGGGTTGCCACTGGTATTAATTTTCATACTGCGAATTTAAGAGTTGCAATAAAAATTTTTAAATGTTGCCGAAACAAAAAATATTGAAAAATCTACTCTTATAAACTGAATAAATTAAAAACTTATGGCGTTTTCGTTTCTACCAAAAAATGTTACCTTCTCTTTGCCCTCTACGCACAAATACTAAGAACAGGGCAATGAGAATACAACAATGTTTTTAGAAACGAAAACTAATTAAATAATATTAAAATATGAGATGAAAAATTTAACATTGTTGTTGTTCTTTTTAATATGGTCATTCGTTTGACTCAGCAGAGAAATAGCTTTTGAGATTATATTTACATGACATTACTACTGCAACGAAACTGTCATTTATTCCGTCCGGATACGTAACATTTATAACAATTCTCAAGCTTTGTTTCTATTTTTTGTAAACAAAATGTTTATGATTAAAAAAATATATATTCTTCAAAGGAACTGGCTGCTTTTACGTATGCTCCAATCACTTCTGTGGATTCAGAACGTTCATTTTCTATGTAAAAAAGTTTTTTAAGACCAAACCATGAAGATTTAATTATTGATAATTTAAAAAAAAAAAATTTCATTCATATATGCTAATGTGATTAAGTTTTCTTAATTTGTATGTGTACATACATATTTGCATACACATACTTGTAGAGAATTAGCTTATCTACATACATTCGTGTCTTGAAATGTACCTGTGCGCCCACTGCAAAATTTAATTGAATACTTTTGAACATACATTAACTTATTTTTACAGTATATTTTTAAATTTTCAGTGCATTTAATTCCATACCCTAATTATAACATATCATGGAGCTGTGCTATGGGTAAGAGAAAATTGTGCAACATCATCAATACGTGACTTCATTTGTGTGGGGTTAAGAGATTAGAAGCACTTTGTGTTATTAATTTAATGTCATACGCTTACATATGTATGCATATATATACATATATATATCTGTGTATTAGGGCGGGTCAATTTTTTTCGATTCGAATTCTACATAAGAAAAAAAGCCCTTTCGACCATAGCTCTAATATTAATGCGCAATTTCGAAAGAAGGTATCTTTAATTGATGCTAAGTTAATATGCAGATTAATATTTACTAAAGTGTTACGAATCTTTTTTTTTAATATAAATTTGTATTTGGGAGTTTTTTTGCTACGAAGAATTAATTTTTGATACCTATTTCTTATGTAAAGAACCGCAAGATGGCGTTAAAACTATCTTAAAACAAATTAGCTGAGGCAATTAAGCTTTAATTTGCGGTAATGAGGTTGGTGTTCGCACACACGTCAGCTGCCCAATTAGCGATACGAAATCAGCTGTTGGATGGGAATTGTTACCTCCTATTTTTCATTATATCGATGGCTGCGTGGAAGATCGACCTATCTCGGCAGCCAGTTCGAAAATGCCCTATCTCAGAAAATTTTTGAGCAACGCTCGGCGCTTTTGAACTGGCTGCCGAGATAGGTCGATCTTCCATTCAGCCATCGATATATAAATACATATTTACTTTTTAGGTACATCTTACTTTTAGGTAAAGTTTCCGTAAATTAGGTACAATTTAAGAATTCAATTTTCCATCCCTGATGGAATATCAGCTTTAAAAGAGGACCAGAAACAAACAGCTGATTGCTCTTTGTTCAATAAACATACCTGCAAGTCAAAATTAAACATACCTAGCAGGGTTGCATAGAGAATCTGACACAAATTGATTGCCAATTAATTATTAATTGGCAATTAATAATTTGAATTTTCGAATGATAAGTTGTATAACAATTAAGGCCTAAATTGGTGAAAAGGTTCTTAATTGTCAATAAGTTGCCTGTTTGAACATAGTCTAAGAAAGGCTCCACCGATTTTTTTTTTAATTTTGGACATCTACTGCAGACTTTCCAAGGATGGTTATAGGCTGAAAAATATTTAGATATATAAAGAGTGTGTGGCACCTCCCATTCAAACTGAATATCTCTGGAAGTATTCGTGGTAGAGTACTGCAACTTGGTATGGGGATATATGAAATTAATACCATACTCATGGATAAAAATTTGGGATTATTGGAAATTATGGCATGGTACCTCCCATACAAAACGAGTTTTTCATACTACATACCTCTGGAAAAGTGAAAATTTATGATTTGCATATTATAAAGTACATACCTTTTACTACAATTTTGAGTCGCATATCTCAGAAATGGTAATCCTTAGGAAGAAAAATGTTATAACAGTTTTTATAGATAATTGTATGATCTACACTTACGTCTCACCTATTTTTATGATAAATCTTACCGTTTTGCTGGAAAATTCAAAAAATTAATTTATGTGACCTTTGACCTTGAATAACTTTTTTTGCAGACGTGGGATCGATGGGGACTTTTGACATTTCATTTAACAGTGGTCGCTAATTTCATACCAATTTTCAGCTTTGTGCGAACTATTGTAAGCTTACCCCTATATTTTCAGCTAACTGGACTCGGCTATTGATTTGTAGCGCCATTTTTCGGTTCTTTAAATAAGAAATAGATATCAAAAATTTATTATTCGTATCAAAAAACCCCCAAATACAATTCTTTATAAAAAAAAAACATTTGTAACACTTTAGTAAATATTAATCTGCATATTAACTTAGCATTATTTAAAGATATGTTCTTTTAAAATTGTGCAGGCTCGAAATTGACTTTAGAGCTATGGTCTGTAGGAATTTTTTTCTTAGAATATTATAAAGAATCCAAGTCTGATAGGAACGATGTCGAAAAAAATCGATCCATATATATTGGCCCATCCTAATGTGTATATATGAAAAATATCGGTTCATTAGGGTGGCTCTTGAAAGTCATTTATTTTAAAATTTTGATAATTTGTCGATGCGCTACACCTCAGCTAGGCTGCAATCCATGAGCTTTGTGGAACTTAGTATCTTTAGTTTGAGGGAAACATGTGCCTCTCGTTGCTCAAAGTCACAAAAATCTATTAAAAATGTAATAAAACTTTATTTGCTGAATTCACAAACGTACATATGTACCAGGGTTGTTGCGAATATTCGCATTCGCATTGGCAACCGCGGAGCTTCCGCATTCATTTTAGCATTCGCATTCGCTATCGCATTCCCAATAATCAATGCGGAGCTTTTGCGAATGCGAATGTTGTGCAAGTGCACCAATAAAACGTCGTATCTGGCAAACAAAATGACAAATTGTAGCCAATATTTTTTGCCTGTTGTCGTTGGAGTATTTTTTTGTAACAAAACTGGTCAAATGTCATATTTATCAACTTTGATAAAAATGTGTTTAAACTTATTATTTCTTCAGCTATATAATCGGGCAGTTATGCAAGTTCCCACTTATACTTGGCCTTTGACGAACGTCAAACAGAACATAGTCCTTTTAATAATATATATTTTTTGTTTTCTCTGGCAGGCAAGACTTTAAAAACAGAATTTTGTTAAAAATTTTCATTCCTGGAAAATAATAATTTGTTTTCCATATCCACCTATCTAGATGGCTATAAGCACAAATTCTTCGAACCAGTCGCAGAAGAAACCATTCAAAATGAATTACAAAAACTAAAATCGAAAAACGCTGATCCGGTACAAGTTCTCCAAATTCTGAAACAGCCAAAGGAATGAGAATGAAGAATTCTTTTTAAAAAGCTTCAGAAAAATCTGACACATCTGGTTTGGTTTGTAAGCGCTGTTTACACAACGATCTCACCATTACGCTAGATTCTTCAAGTGAACATGAAAGTCAGGAGGATACATCCGACATTTGCAGCCCCGATGCAATTCTCATTACTTTTTATTAAATAAGATTTTAAGTTTTTAAACTCAAGTACTAAATAAAATACACATTATTAAAAATTACTAAGTTTTACATTTTTTTATTTACCAAAATAACTTAGTTTACTTACCTGGTTATTTCTTAAAAATACTTGACATCCGCATTCGCATTCGCATCCGCGGATGTTAGCTGTTATTTCACATTCGCAACATCCCTAATATGTACATATACATATGGGGCAGCGAACACTGACTAAATAAAGCGATTTGTTCATCGAAAAAAAACTTTGATATAAAAATCAATCTGCCAAAGAAATTAGGGCTACCCCAATGTACAAACATATAAACATATGTAGGTATGTACACTTTAATTTGCTCCTAAAATCGACTTACATATATTATTTAAAATTAATTAAGGTAGAAATCGTATAAAATGCCATTGCGAGTCAATTTCGATCACACTGCAGCGCATCTTTCTATTCCGTTTAAATCTAAAGCCATCAGCTAAAATGAAGCAGGCGTTACTTATCGCAACCAGCGCTTTGCTGTTTGTTCAGGTAAAGTAAAAGAGATTTTTTCAACAGATGTGAAATGGCTTAAAATTATTTAAATTAAAAGATCATCCATGCCTTACCGCATATGAAGCGTGAGTCTGTCGCCGTAGTTGTACACGGTGCCAACAGCCTCCATGAAACTCAAGGCACAGCTGCCGAAGAGGACGACGCCAAGGTGCAACTTGTTGCTGACACTTTGACCGAAATAGCTGTATTAGCTAAATGGACACTCGACAAGGGAAGCGTAGTCATAAGGAATTCCGTTAAGGAATTGAATGCGATTCCAGTAAAGGATGAACAATTGCAAGCCAACATCACTCGCATGTCCAAAGTTGTTGAAGAAATCTCACGCATCAACATGGAAGAACAAGAGGAGGTTCTATTGAAACTCTTCACTGAAATGATTGAATTTGCAACCCTCTTGGCCGACTACCAAGGCATGCCCGAGTGTTCGAAATTGCAAATAACATTGAAGGCAGCTTTGGAAAACAATGGCTTCAACAAGTTCGATAGTGAATTCAAAGAGAAGATCGTTGGGGTTGCTAAGAATTTCGAAACTAGATTCAGTGAATTCAGTGAAGGGATGACTACAGCCAAAAAAGCAAAGAATGCTAAATTAATTCATTGGTATGAGGAATTTAAGGCCGAAACTGGCGTAGAGGCGAAGCTTGACAAATTTGGCGAATTTTTTTATTTAATATCTTAAGTTCCTGCAGGTGCTACTTGCATGCATATATTTTCTTTCAATCCTCATTACGAAAATACAAAAACGTTAAACGGTGAATAATTTTACATCTCTGTATTTAGATTCTTTATAGCTTCGTGAGTTATGAACCGTGGTGAAAACCAATGGCTTATTTTAAATAATAAGTTATAAGACTATTCCCTAAAACTGGAAAAAAACTTTGGTACCCTCGAAAGTTTCAAAACTTTAAATGAGCTATCGTAGTTCAGTATACCGATTATGCTGCTTCTTGTAAAATATTTTTTTATGAGACTTGAACAAGATGTCGCAGATAAGGGCAAACTAAACTAAATTACGGTGGTAAAAATAGAAAGACCAAATGCTTTAAATCTTATCACGCATACCTCGAAAATATTCTTTATAAATCACACAGTTCACAATGTTGGGTTGCCAGAGTTATTTTCTGAGAAATCGGTATCAATTCCTTTCTCCCAAAAAGCATCGAGAAAATACTAAATCAGCATTTAAATAGAAGGACAGCAACGTGACTGAAGATGCAGTGAGAGACTACCCACAGGAAGGAGTGCTATCACGGTTACTATGGCTCATGGTTTTTAACAAAGTACTGGTAAAGCTAGACTCTCAGAGGATGTAGCGATACTGGTATGGGGTTCCTTTCCTTCGATCAGAAGTGAAATTATGGAAAGGGCTCTAAAGGCGGTCGATTCCTGGATCTGTCAAACAAGGTGAAATACCTGGGAGTTAGTCTGGATTCCAAACTTAACTGGAAACCAAACATTGAAGAGCACTCAAGGAAGTCCACGGTGATTCTCCATGTAGCCAAGATGATGTTGAGCTGATGCGGTTTGAACTGCAGTAGGCGAAACTCATACCTGTGCAGAGTGAATGCAGATGTAGTAACCAATGAGTGCCGCCACATAACTCACGGCGCGTCTTCGCATGCCCCCAGATCCCCACCCAGCTAACGCCCCTCTCCCTATGAACAGACCAGGTGGAAGCAACACACTTCCTGGGCCTCCCCTAGCTGAGCCTGAAGACAACGTTGAAGGACAAGCCGACTCGAACGGGGCTTAGTAGCCGCTACAGAAACACCGAGTACGAGTTTCAAGACCCGTCTTCCATCAAGAAAGGAACCGACATTATATACAGTTAAGGAAAGACATCCAAAAGAGTTTGGGAGTGGAGCTTATCCGGAACAATTAGGTCCTTTCTTACTACGGCAGTCCTTTTAAGGCAGAACTGATGGTAATCTCAAAGGGCACATCACGGTTTCAGAGTGATACGATTCCTAGTCAAGATATTCACAAAAGTAGTTGCTTAATACCTGCGATCTCTAGACCTGTCCATTGCGACACGCAGAGAAATTGCAAAATTCACAAAAGTTGAAATTTGGCAAATGGACCCGACCTGTCGTATTGCCAAAGCATAGCCATACATACAAGCTGGCCATACATGGACGCCTAATGTACTAAGCCTCTATTTAATATAAGAAGGCAAAGCATTTGCATAGTAACTGGAGTTTTCGCCGGACATTGTCTGATTGGATTAGGCGCAGCTAGACTGGGCGCACCCGGGAACGACTTCTGTAGAAGTTCCATGGCTAAAGACAAAATATAAACCATCCAACAACTTATCTGCCATTTTGCGACGCTATCAAAAAGGGGAGCAAAAGCTCTTTGCAGTTATTTCGGCGATGATCGCGATGAACTCCAAGCGATGGATGTTAGAAGCCTATGCACTTTCTTTTTTGCTAAGAACAAAGTGGTTTATAGCGGAACGGGGATAAATGCAAATTTCATGCGATATCACAAATCGCGCTGAGTCTAAGTGTGTTCACATAGTTCACTACCGCTCAATCTAACCTAACCTATATTTGAACAAAAGCCAAAGGTCCCCTTTGCTAATATTTAGTAGGATGGCAAGTAAAATTATGTGCTTGAAAAATCTGTTTTTCGGCCTGAAACATAAAATTTAATATTTATTTATGTACATACATATGAATTTACATATAATTCAAACCGCGTTATTCTTTGAAGGCTAATGTTATTCAAATTTCAACTCTGGTAACAAGATTGTATACATACATATGTATATTAGAGCTCTCGATTTTGTTCGCACATTTTCAAACAGCCCGGGTATATGAGCAGCGAATACTCGCACACTTGTTCAATGCTCATTACTCGAAAATTTTTGAGCATGAGCTCGAGCAATTCGAGTTTTTTCGAGTAATTTGAGCAATGTTTTTTTATTATATTGACATTTTTGGTAGCAACTTTTTAAATTTTTCAAATTATTGATATATAATGCAAAGATTGTTACATTGGTATTTAATAATATAATTTATTTAACATGAATTAGAAAGCGGCTGCTGACAAATACAATTTATAAATTTTCTTTTGTTTATGAAATTGTTCAAAAACTCGAAAATTTTGAACAAACATTTGAGCAGTTGAGCAATGAACGAGTTTCGAGCGAGTATCGAGCTACTCGCATTGCTCGATACCCGGGTATCTAGAGCTCTAATGTATATACATCCTTGTAACGTACGAACGTAAATTTTTATATTTGACTAAAAACACGTTACACTTAAATATACTTAATTTGGCTCAAATTTTCGCTAAAGTTTGCGATGTTTGTTAAGGACAATCGCATCACTGTTACAACGAAATACGCGTTTTGCATACTGAAGGACAATTTGCACCCAAACGTATGTACAATATATAGGTACATTAGGAATTTACATTAGGAATGTTAATCCCGGGATCCCGGGATGCCGGACTTTTCGAGATTTATAATTTGCACTAATGGCAATAATAGAAACTCATTTTCTTGAAAAGCATTGGCTATATTTCTTTTTTTTAATAATTAATAAATTTTTTATAAATGTCTAGCTCATTATACATATGACACCGCGCGATAGTAAATTTTAAACACAAATACCAATATATTCGCGAAAACATGGGCCAAATATAGGAAAATTGCGTTTTTAGTATTTCACTCTGACATCAGTAATTCAAAAATGATTTAAAAAATTTAGAGAAATGTGCTTGGAGAAGAAGTATGGGTATTAATGAGAAAATCCTGTAGAATTTAAACATATTCAAGTTTTTAGCGCAGCAGGGCTGGTAAATATGGAAAATATCATTTTAAAATGTTATCCCTGAAATTTCGCAGTATTTGTTCGAATTTCGTTCTTCTTCTTACTTTGTCAGCTTAAAGATTACCTATTCGTCCTGGTGAATCCAAAAATTTAAATTTTTTAAATTCCAAAAAAAAATTCCTATTGCATTTGTTACCCATATTTTTATTCTACATTGCATTGCATTTTTTTAATAATTTTAGGAATTAATCATATCTTTGAAATTACAAAGTCCTTCAAAATAAATCCTGCGGTCAGAGAGAAAAAATAAAAACGCCACTTTAAATAAAAAAGTAGGTTTCAAACCATGGTACAGTAATTACAGGTATTGTCTTCCCAGATAGTTTTGGTTTGCATCGAAATTCGTGTTCCCTTATTTTCATTTTAACGCAGTTCAATGCTTATTCTTTTACTTTTTGCTTTTTGTTTTCGCTCAATTTTGGTTTTTATAATTTTTCAAAACAAAAGAAAAAACCTTTGAAATTAATTGATCCATACATATTTTGAATTTATTTACAAGCAAATGTTTATTTTCCGGCTTTTGCAAATTGAATAAGTTCTCTGTGAAATGGGTTTGTTAAAAAAAATCCTTGAACATACATACATGTTATTTGGGGTATGGAAAAAGGGATATTTCTAGCAGTAAACGTTTTAGTGTGGGCAACAATAATATTTTTTAAATAAGGCAGATCGGAATATGCTCTCACTGGGAAGACAATACCTGTAATTATTGTACCATGGTTTCAAACCCGTTTATTTATTATTTATTTCAAGGTAGGAAAGCTTCTCAAACAATATAGAAGCAATTTTTTCGATTCAAGTTGTTGAAAAGTAATGAATATCTAATTCCCGGCATCCCGTGATTGTGACAACGCCATCCCGAAAATCTTGGGGTCGGAAAAATCCGAAAAATGCACATCCCTAACGTACATATAACTGATTTAAGAACAAAAAGAATAACGACCAGCCAGGCGGCAGCTGTAGATAAACTATTCAAATTTAAGGGTCTAAGGGCATAGCTTCGCAAGGACATCATATAAGTACTATATGGTCATACATACATATATACATTTTTATAATATACATTATTCATGACCTTATGTTATATGAAAAAAGATGTTCATTCTTTGGTTGAAAAAGCGTTTAAAAGGATTTGGTAAATTTGTTTTATAATTCTTGTGCTGTTGAAAGCTATTTCCAATATTTTACAAATGTATTTATAATGGAACGGTAAACAATGGACCAACGTTAAAGAAACTAAACTTTAAATATAAAAAATATTTGTAATAAATAAAAATATTGCTCCTACGCATGATATAAAAAAGAAGGTAGTTTCATTGTCACTTTTCGGACGCCATATTAACTACCTGACAATTAGGCATTATGTGACATTTCGTGCTGCCATACCTAGTCCTCAATAATCATTTATTTATTTTGTAAAAGTTATTTACAAAATTAAAAGGAAATTTGTCTTCGATCTGAGCAATAACGAAAATGGAAATTCATACATCGCCATATTTGAAAAACAACCAACCAACTTTTTCTTTGAAACAAAAGACCACTTAATATGTTGTCCACCGCAAAAATTAGTTATTAAATTCGTTTATTCGAAAGCCAATCACCGAAAGGGATTTGGATGTGCTTTGCAAATGTTAGCTCCAGTAAGGCTTTAATTTCGATGCTTCATGATATGAAAGATAATATGGTTATGGACAATAGAGGTACTCCCGATTGAACTGGCACCCATAGTTTGGAAGTAAGTAGTTAGAGGGCAGTCCAATGCCTTAAGTGCAGCTTGTCTGTCACCGCAGACATGTAAACTCATTCCCCTCCACCTCGCCCCACTCAGTGTTATACCGGCATCCGTTTCTTTTCTAGTCTGCAGGTGGCCTTACAGGCTCCCTACGTATGAGGAAACAAAGTGATGGTAAGTGGAAGAGTGCATCC